TGCATTTGAATTGAATAGGGTAAGTCAGACTTGAAACATCTCAATAGAATAGCAAATCTGTTGGAAACTGTAGATGGTTCCACAAGAACAGACTAGACTAACTGTAGCTTCAATTTGAAGTATTTATTTCAAAAGAAAAGTAGAAGTTTAGCCCAAGTAAATGAAATCTGAAAGTTTAAAACTCCAGCTTAAAAAATGGAAACCAATAGTTACAGTCGTGGCTTTGACAATTAAGTACTAACAATCTGAGCACTCCAGTTAGTTCTTTGGCTGTTGATTAGGATTCCGTGGTGGTGATTAGTGAGTGTGAGGATGCAATCACATCTGTAGGGTTTAATCAGTCCAGTGCTGGAGAAGTTAGTCCAAAGATGAAGAAAGAAACTAGAACTTCTACATGTAATCTTAGTAGGGTTTTTCCCCAGGCTGCAAAAAGATGAAGGGTAAAAAGTAGAGAAGCCTACCTCCCCTGCCCCCAAAATTGCAGAGTTTGTAAATGATAGTACTGATTTTCTAGTTCCATGATGCAGGAGTATAATGTCGTTGACACCTCTGAAGGTGAGAGAAGGTGCATGGTGGTACTCACGTATGCACCCTCTCTGAGGTTCAGTATTTCATTCTTACAGTTGTGAGCAGTATTTGTATTTCCATAGTGCGCAACCACGTATCTGCTTTTCATTTTTGTAAATCTAGTATTTTAAGTGTTTTGCTTGAATGTTTACAATATTTTGGTGTGCTTTATTTTCTTCTGTTATACATTCTGATGATATGCTGTCTTTTTAACATTTAAAGCATTTCTCTTGAAAAAATTATTTACAAATATGAACATTTTGCCCTCTGCATCCTGTGAAGCAGATAAGTGAATGTTTACGTGTGTAGAAACAAAAGAACTGTGGTGGGTACCCTTGTCTACAAAGGAGACCCCAAAAGGAAAAACTTCTGGATCTCTGCTCAGCACATAGCTTCTCTGTGACCTTTCTGACTCTGGCTTTGAGTAAAGGTGACCATGTGCTGAATCCCCCTTTAGAACTGTCTCCACCCGTGCATTCTTAACTTGGAGGAGAAATGCTGTTGTTGTTGCCTGGTGGTGCAAACAATCCTCCCATTACCACCTTTTCAGTTCACTGGTACTGCTATCACACCCTTTCTCTTCTCTACTGCATAGAGCTCAGTTTGCACAAATAGCATTGCCCACACCAGTGCATGTTTGTATGCCATTTTGTTGGCATTAATTTCTTCCACATTATCATTTAATGGTTGATTTCTTTATTCACACGTCTGTTTGATTTTTTTTTTTACGTTATTTTCCAGTAGGACCTATAGATCTATGCTCTACTGTCATATAGTCATGTAAGGAGAAGGTTGTTCCTACCCTACAAACGTTATAATCTAACAACAGCAATCATGTTTTAAAGGAATGTTTTCTGGGAACATGTTGCTACACAGATCATAATGTTTTGTTTTAATAGCAGGGGCCATCCATTTTATGAATACAGTGTCTAACAGAATAGGTGTGAGTGAGCTTTGAAGTGTCTCAGTAGAAATAATTAATGATGAACAGTGGTAGATACTTATTCAGGTGAACCTGTGGAAGGGTTAGGAAATTCTCGTGGCTGTTTTATTTTTGTTTAGAACATGGGCTCTAAATGGCTGGAGTACCTTCCTGAACTGAGCATCAGTCTGGAGAGGCCAAAAAAAAAAAGCAAGCGGGGGGGGACGGGACACGACTGACTTCAAGGTCCAAGTCAGTGGTTCTTGAGACAGTAATGGATGAAAAATATGCTAGACATTCAAAGTAAAATATAAACCAGAATTTGACTGAGGATGCTGGTTTGAAAAATAAGAGGCAGAACTGTATTTGAAAGATGGGACAGAATTAAGCAAAAAAACCCCAAACCCAAACCAAAATTGGAAATTAATTAGGAAAATTCAAGGAGCAGGATAGTGAAAGGCCAAATGTTTTCCAAAGGACTAAGTATCCCTATGTTTCTGTTAACTGGCTCCTACTTCTATGCTTATATCGTGTGTTACAGAAAACTGCTGTATATCAGAATTCTGGTTTTCCATTTTGTTCATGTTTGGTTCAGTTGACTTTTGCCTCCTAAGAAAGGACTGTAATAACTGTATTTTATACATCTCTGAACGGGATGCTGCTATTGCCTTTCTGGCTGAAAGGTCCTATAGCCCAGAATATCTAACATGTTTTTGAAATAAACTGTGTAATGTTATATCACACTAGAATCAGTAGTAGTACATTATTGTAGACATACAAGACAGGGTTTATAGGGAAAAGAAATATCTTTCATTTAGGCAACTGTTTGTAGCTTAAAAAGGGCCCAAAAACGTAAATAAGCTTTTGAGCACACAAGCTCTTCTTAACTAGTGTCACTAATGATAGCGATTTTTCCTGAATAGTGGTAATACTAATTACTCTGAAGAAAGAGAAAAGAGAAGGAAGACAGGAGAAATTAATCTACTTCATAGCTATATTGGTACTATTTACATCTACGGTTCTTAGCTCCAAAACTCATTCACTATAATGTTAAATCATGGAGTCGTAAAAGACTGTCAGTGCATTTAAGGAGTGATAAATTTGTAAGCAGAACACAAGTGGACTAAAATACTGTAGCACCAAGTGCTGATTTATATTTCAGCAAGCTGCAGTGGCCTGCATAATATAGCCCAGTATCAGTCTGTATTTGAGTGCACAGAATGTCTGCTGTACTCAGTAGTCATTAGCAGCTGAGCCACAAACACTGCTGTAAATATCAGCACAATAAATTTACACCAGCTACAGTGTTCAGGTGCCCCTTTTTTTTTTTCTTTCAGCCCTACCATAACCATACCACACTTTTAAGTATATGTACTTGTGTGTTCACTCTTCACTCTGTATGCAGCACAACACCCTGAGAGAGCAGTAGAGTTTGTAAACCCACCTTGAAGGCCAAAGAGATGAGGCTGAATTCATGCCAAATTTCCTATCTGTTGTTTCCAGGAAAAAAAGCCAAAATGATAAACAGTGTTACTAAATGTCTGAGTATTTAAAGTTAATCTAAATAATCTCATATTCTGCATAGCTGTAGTAATAATGTGTTGTGGTTAGGTTTTTTTTCTCCCCCCTACTAACATGAAGAAAATAGTACTTGAGCTAATCTACTACTTTGAAAAAATAAAACATTAGGCGGAAGGATGCTGAGCATCAGTGCCTGGCAAAGAAAAGCTAAGTATATCAGCTTTGCTGTGAAATTTCAGGAATCTTCCTTCTAGATTGACTGCCAGACTGATGCTGAAGAAAAGCTTAAACATCCTCCCTCCCTTGTGCATATTATTACATGCCTCTGGAACTTTTTTCTTCTGCTCTGTTATTCTCTTTCTTTGTAAGCTTTCACAAAAAGAAAGGGAATAGATTGTAATAATATTGTAGCACCAATGCTATTGTGTTTGCAGTAGCCTTAGCCCAAGATAATGATTTGATTAGCATGGCTTTTTCACTTACTGGAATTAAAGATACATGGATTTTCCTGGGATTCTGTGCTTTCAGGATGATTTTTTCCCCCTTCTTTCTTCAGCTGTATATCTTTGCAGAGAAGTTGGAGGTTTAAAATAGGTATAGAGCCTTCAGTAATAGCCAAGGGTAAAAAAATTAGTGCAATGAGTCATCATAGTCACTCCTGCAGAAATTTGTAATCTATAAGTCCTATGCAACACATTTGTTCAAAAGGGCCATTGTTCCTTAAATCACTGATGATAGTTCATCTAAAATTCAAGGGTTTTTTTCCTGCAATGTATTTGCTAGAAATGAGATTTGACATTTCCAATTTTGTTATTTGAATGGCTTCAAGGAGGCTTTGAAAAATTTGACACACAGAATATGAAACGCTTCACGAGAGCATTAAAGATAAACTAATAGTTCATAGTGCAGTGAAGAAGCAGATTAATTTAATGGATTCTAGCAATCCACAGAATTTTAATGGTGTTGAATTACCTAAAAAAAAAAAGTTTTATTGCTCTAATTAAATTATTGATAGAGGTATATTTTCTAAAATATTAAAACTTTTCCTCCCTTTCTTTTATAGCTTCTTTTGCTTCTAGCTGTATAACACCCAGAAGTTGTGTATGTTGGCAGTAGTAATAACAGATAAGCAGAACTATTCCCTTTGCCCCAGAGGGTGTAAAATCTAGATCCCACTGAGGTTAGGGAGAATTTTGCTCTCAGTCTTAGGCCTTGAATCAAAAAAAGCACCCTTCAGTACAGCTGGTTTTGAGTTTTCTAACAGAAGTAGTTATTGTGACTACTCAGGGACATCTGTATCACACTGGGAATCTTACAGGTTGTTTAAAGGGAAAAAGAAAAGAAGATCCTTTTCTGAGTCAATTGAGACATCACAAAAATGAAACAAAATCTTTTTGATATAGAGCTTTGTTTATTCCCCCTTATGCTTTGGTCGATCTTGCAGCAAGACTTGGTTCATATATTTGATGTTCGACTCACAAAATTTTTTATCTTCTTAGTAGAAGGAAAAGATAAAATTATTTTTAGCTTACAAAGTAGAAGTAGTTTCAGTTGTCTCTGTTACTAGAATTTGATTGTAGTCTGTTAAAGTTTTATTGCTCCTAATTTTCTGTGTCTAAATGTATATTCTTTAATGTGAAAATAATTATTTTTACACACTCCCCCAACAAAGCACTACCCAGAGAGAATGAGTAATATCCACTGTCGTTTCATTTCGTGTGCTTCCAATCTATATTGATTTTCTAGTTGATGGACTTTTGAAAATGGTTACTTTCTTGTTTCAAGTGTGTGAATGATTTCCAGCTTATTTCTTTGCTTTCATAAATGTAAAGGAGACTTCAATTTTGTGATCCTGAATTTCAGTTTTGCAGATGAAATTCATGCTGATGGTTTATCACAGCAGTGTGTCTTCTCTCTAACACAGACAATAATAAATACAGCTTTGGTTTGAGGAAAGCTTTCTTTTCTTTTTTTTTTTTTGTCTCTGTAGAAATACTGCAGGACAATCCAGCTTGACTCTGGAATAGACTACAGGAAACGAGTGCTTCCTGCTGCTGGAAAACTTTACTACCTGTAAGTTTATCTATGATATGGTATTTGTCCTCTTTTTCCTTCTTATTAGCCAGTAATTTCCTAGTCAATGGGAAATGAAAAATGTATAGTAGAATTAGCAGAGTGTGACTTTTCCTTTCTTTGCCTTCTGGTCCATTTTGTTCAGCAAACCGCCTTCCATTATGCCTTGATATTAACTTCATTAAACTACATTTTCAGTATCGACACTAGCATCATTTATAATATGTGACTGAATAAAAACTAATTAGATTTTTTGGGGAGGTGTGGTGTTTGGAGAACTGAAGTGACAGATGGTTAGAAAGTAATGAATATCCTCTTGTAAGAGATTGCACAATTCTCTTATAATAGAAGAACATCCTTATTGTATTTAAGTAATTAAGTATTTATAGAAATCCAATGACAAGGATTCATTTAATGTTGGGTGTTTCCAGTGCTGTGGATTTAAAAAAAAAAACAACCCAACACCCTCCTATTTTGACAGATTGTGTCTGTTTATCATGACAAAATTTCTTTAGCACTTTATTCTATATTTGCAAATAAATATATTTAAAAATACATTCACAGTGTGCTTATGGTTGCAGCATATATCTGCCTAATAGAAACATCCTCTCTTTTTTTTTTAAATACTTTGAAACCTTTTCATTGCAGACATTTTTCTATTTCGTATTTGTTCTTACAGTATTATTTAATCAATAACAACCTGAGCAAGGTAGACAACAATAAGTTAAAATGAGATTTATAACTGTTGTATCTTTCAAACCAACACACAATATTGATTTAAAAATCATGTTTCCATTAAGAAAGGTGCAGTATTTTCATTGATGTATCAGATATTTGAAATGAAGTATGTCCGTATCACTTTATTATCAAGTTAGAAATTGTAGTAGTTTGTCCAGAAGGAGTACTGCTTAGTAGAATTACAACAGGTAACTCTTTCTGCTTCTGGAAGGAAATGACAGAATTTTATATATGGAAAACAGGGCAAATTCAGGTTCTGTATCTTCAAACAAAATGTGACTGTATGAACTCAAGAAAAGTAATTCTTGTTCTATATTCTTGCCTGACTCCACTTTCTTAAAGTTTTGTGCTGTCTGCTTGGAAGTACTGTTTGAAGCTACCACTGTTATCTTGGCATTGCTCATCGTGCCTCTTGTTCCGATGCCTACATAGCTGTCGTCTTACGGCCCAGCTTATTGCACCCGTTGCACTTTGTGACTTTCTGTTTGATAATTGCAGAGAGCACCTACCATATTCTTTTCTCACTGTCTGTACTCTGAAGAAAGGAAAAGCACGTGCATGCTTTCTAGCAGGTAAAAGGCTAAATGTGGCGCCTATGGCATCAGCTGACAGAGGAGAAGAAATACGAACAAGTCCCAGGAGTAGTACCCAACCAAAGTATTTCATGGTGTTCTGCTGTAAAACTTGTGATTGAGTGAATGGCAGAAATTGGTGATAAGTCTGTCTCATGTTCTCTCATTGGAAAGGTGTTGGTTACTTCCAGAGCTTGTCGTATAAATCATTAGGAAGCAGTGGGGAAAAAAAATAATTAAAAAAAATCCTGTAGCTGCCAATGGAGATAAGATACTTATTTTATCATCCTTTTTTTTTTTCTGAGGGAATCTCTTTCATTCTTCTATTCAAACTTGTTCATTGGTGCTTTCAACCCTGAAGAACTAGCACAGTATGTGGGGATTTTTTTGTTCTGTTTTGTTTTAATATTAGGTACTATACAGTATTTTGCTACAGATATTTGAATTTTATTTACCAGTCTTGCCCCCAAAAGAAAATGTTCTTGTCCAACATGTTTACATTCCCCCATTAATGGTGATAGTATCATCATGACATTTTTAAAAAAATCCTCTTGATGCTTCATAATTTGTGTAGTCTTTTCTTAATTTAAAATATGCAACTAAGGGTTGTTTAAAGCTGTTTCATACTCGTCTGCAAGGAATCAGTATAACACAATTACAAGATTTCTGATCAACACAGCTTCTGTGATCTCAGTCTCGGGTGTCTGTTTTCAAAACAAACTTTCTTGGCATTTAGGTGCAAATATCCACCTAAGCATCGTATTCAGCTGTTCCTTCTTGTAGCCTTTACATCAAACTTTTTGATAGTTATATGCATACTCTCCAACATATATGCACTCTTTCCCCCTTTTATGGCTTTTTTTCCTGTTTTTATCTGTTCCTTTTCATTTGTTGTTTTGTCAGAGGAAAGCAGCACACAAGTATCAATGTTGAGAGAAACTTCTTTTTTTGAAGTTACAATTTTATGCGATCTCCTTTTCAGAAAAGGTTTTTGAAGTGTTTGAAATGGCACTTGCAGAAGTTTGTAGAGTTTTTTTATCCAAATTCTTTGTATCTACAAGGTTTGTTATCGTTAAGCTTGAGCTAAAAAGTAGTTATTTCAGTTCTGCTGTTAACATTTTTAAGGTGCTTAAGGCCTAATGAACAGGAAAGTAATTGTGTAAGGTGCTGATCATCACTTGTCGTTTAGAGGAGGTCTAGAACTGTGTGAAGCAATGCAACTTGAGTGCATCCATGATCCGTAAAAGTAGACTTTTCACACCAAATGAGATTATACAAACTTCAGTGAAGTGTTTTATATCCTAGTTCTAGTTTATTGTCTACCGTAGCATTAATTTACTATTCTCAGCTTTCAAACTAGCTGAGAAAAAACGAACAGTTAGAAATATTATCTATCTTCTTTAAGAATGAAACACAGAAAGGCTGGCCCTCTAACTGTTTCAGTGACAAAAAATATTTTCTGATCATGCTGATTTATAGTTCTTGCAGCAACCAGAAGATGAATATAAACTTTACTTCAGCTCTCAGCACAGATATTTTGCATTTTCACTGTCTGTGGTTGATCTTTTCCCGAATAGCATTGGGGACAGAGTGGGGGAATCTGATAAAATTACTAATGGGGAGATCATGCTGGTATTTTCAATTTCGTAGTTTAATTTTCAAATTGTCTGATCAATACAATCAGTTGACTTGATTCCCTCCCCACAACACCCTGAAAGCTGCTACAATATTTAATTTCACGAAGTCGCCTCTCAGAAATTTCAAAGGATACTTCTTTAGGTGCTTGACTGCCTTGCCTTGTCTATTTGCTCTTATTTTGCATGCAAGATAGAGCCAGAAGCCTTTTTTCTCATTGTGTACACGTAGTGTTAATGGATCTGCTCTGCCTGTATTGCCTCATTACTGGAAACAGCTTAAAACACAGAAGTCTTTCAGTGTATGCAAATAAGGCAGAATCATCTACCTGAGAGTTAATATTCTCTACTTTTAAGTGTATTCTAAATCTAATGTTTGTATTTAGAGCATAACATCCTGTTCTCTTTTTTTTATGGGCAAAAAGCTAAGCAGGCTCAGGCAGCTGTTTGATGTTGGCTTCAAGTGTTATTAATTTCATATTCTATTATTCTTTTCACTGTAGCACAAGTGAAGCTGATGTGGAGGCTGTCATGGATAAGTTGTTTGATGAGCTGGCTCAGAAACAAAATGATTGTACGTAAGTTAATTTCTCTTGAAAGAGAATACATTTAGAACACAATGCCCAATCTCCACTGACCAATTAATAAGTTCCATTGCTGTATATGGGTTGATGCCACACTCAAGTGGCAGTCATTGTATCAGCATTTTGTCTAATTTATGTGTTGAATCATGTGCTATTATTCATCAAGCTATGCATTTCCTATCTGTAAGAGATGAATTTTATAGTAATTATCCAGAGAAGATTGAGTCTTTGTTCATGTTCCCATAGTAACTAGACCAAGGATTCTAAAAGTGCAAGGCAGAGAGCTGAGGCTGAATAAAGCGTGTGGAACCATTGCAGACTTCACGTTTGAAGAGCTGTGTGACAGAGTGAGTACCCAGTCAAATCTAGATCAGTTAACGCTCAGACTTTTCACAGTTTAAAAAAAAAAAATGAACAAACCCCAAACACAAAAACTCAGTATTTTCACAAGTTGTACTAAATTTTTAACTTGGCAGAAAGATTTTGAATTTAACAGGAGAAAAAAAAATGAACTCCCCAAAAGAACAATAATAATTTTCTTTTTAATGATACAGTAAATTCACTCTTAAGTACATCACAGATTGTCTTCAAAAATCCTAATACAGTATGTGCCTGGGCTAACATCATTGCTAGTATGTTAGTGGTCACAACATACCAATATGTAAATAGCATTCAAATACTGTTTTTAAAATCTGGGGTTTAAGTTGATACTCAAGCAAAGGAGTAGTAATGCTGGCACCACTAGAGTAAAGCTGTTGTTGCATGCCTTAGTTGTGACTAGCTGTATAGGGGCTGTTTAGTCCCAGGCCTTCTCAAAATTTGCCAAATTTTGCTAAATACTGCCAAATTCTCTGCTAAACACGTGGGGTGTGATTCCTGGAAAGCTCTCTTTGTATATGACCTCCAGTGGGTTTGAAGACAGTCCCCCAGAAGTTGCATAGTACTTCAGTGACCTCTCTGCTCACACCTGAAGTTATTGTTAAATGATCACAACTCTAAACCGGCCTGATAGCACCTTTGATTCAGGATGCTGACCAGTCCTTTGGTTATGACATTGTTTTCACTTCCTTGTAGCTACCAAGTTGATAACTATTTGGACAGAAATTTCACTGGTTGTGTTTCACTGTAGGTTTTAGGCTTTGTTGGTTTTTAGTTTCCGACAAAACCACTTAGCCATTTGTGAGAATGGAGGTATGTCATGGGTAGAACAGCTTGCTTTTTCACTGAAAGTTTTGAGTCCTTTTCTTCATTGTGCCTGTTAACGTGTCAGGAAACTATGTTTTCAGCAAACACTTGTGAAATTCTTTAGTCCAGTAAATGCCTTATGTACTTAGATGGGACGATAAATTGCTTCTAAGGAGAAGTGCTCTGGTAGCTCACGTGGCAGTGGCCCCTACTTTGGGTCTGAAGGTTCTGATCTGGTTGAAGAATTATGTGGGGTTCAGACCCCACAGAGCTGAGGTGCTTGGTTTGTGCTCAGAACAAGTAAAGAGAATCCATATGAAATGTTAAACATCATTTAACAGTAGTGTTCTTATGCTGATCACGCAGGACTTGGGGAGTCATGCTGTCTCAATTCAGATACCTTCTGCAGATGTGTTATGATAGTCTCTAATGGAATAATCACATGCTTAAAACTAAAACAACACAGCAGACAATAAATGTTTTTCTTTAACAGCTTCCTTGGTCATCACGTAGTTTCTTTGCATATGCCTCCATTTGTTTCTACCTTTAATTGTTATATACAAGTATTTATTTTGCCATGAATTTTCCCTTCAGATCACTGATGTACCTTCATAAATAATATGTTAGTATATTGGTAAGGTGGTATCACTGTGCTCACTTCATAGATAGAGAAATATAGTCATGAACTTCAGAATTGTCCATTAAATTTGGTTGAACGGCTTAAGTTGCCTTTAATATGTTTTTTTTTTTTTTTCATGAATGTAAACCTTTATAGGGCTTCATAGCAATAGTAAAAGTTCCTATTGGTATAAGCTGCATTTAAGACCTTGCCTGCTGTGTTGCTCTGTTTGCCCACCCTGTTGCCATTAAAATCTGCTAAAAGGCAAAAGAAAAATTCAGTTGTCAAACCATGAAGCCATGTTCCTTCTTTTCATGAAATCTTTCAACTTTTTGATGGAAAAATTTGTACATGCAGTATCTCTTTTTAACAGTCAGAATGGGAAGTCATTCCCACTGATGCCACAGAAGAAGTAGGTAGGATCCAGAAGTGTGCACTGGTGGTTTGTAGCCAGAAAAACCCCCAAAGTCAGGAGACATTCAACATGACAGGAAGTATAAAGTCATTCAGAAATATTCAAGTAAGCTGGCTAATAGTGAGAGCTATTTGTGGAGGGATAAAGCAGAAATGGGTAGGAGACATAGCTACAAGGTATTTGGTACTGCTTGTGGTGCCAAATGTTAGACAAGTTGACAGGCATCATGAGTGCAACTATTAAGAAAAAGGAAACTGGAAGGCTGAGAAAGATGTAATGAAAAGGAAGATCCACAAAAGAAAATACTGGAGGGGAATTTGTTGGATTTGGCTAGAGTGAATCTGCAGGTTTCTTTGTGTAGGACATGGGGACAAAGTCCCATGGGAAGCCAGATTGTGTGAAAGGATGCGGGGTGGGGAATCTTCCTAGGCAGAGCCTGTAGCAACCAGGAAGGGGCTTAACTGACAACCCAAGCAAAGCATCCTAGGTAGATAAATGCAATTTGAAGTTGGTGTCATAGGAGTCAATTAAACTTCTGACAGAATTGAAAACAAGATTTGCAGTTGGGTTTGTATCAATGTTAAGACCTGGTGACAAGCATGATAAATGGGAAATTCTCATTAATGAGAAATTGAGAAAATGAGAAAATAATTGATATTATTGAAATCTCATGGGACAATTCATAAAACAAGAATGTGAAATCAGTGCTTACAGCCTACTTGAAGACAGTGGCTAAAAGAGCTGGAGGATGGTATGCAACATTAGACACACTGGTACCTGCCTTAAAGTTAATTAATACAAGGATCTTGAATACATATCAATCAGTCTGCTAATTAACAAACCCAAGAGGGTGGTACTCATAGGGGTCTGTTGCAAACAGAGAATGAGGTACATTGCTTCTTAAGCAGCTGGCTATAAAAAGCATATAAAGAAAAAATACCATTATATGGGAAGCTTATGCTGTAGATGAAATGCAGGAAATAGTGAAATGTAATTAGCCTGAAAATTGCAAATGATAATTTTCTAGCATAAAATGTACTGCAGCCAGTACAAGGTCGTTTGGTTTGAGCAGCTTTATGGGAACTTACAGTGATGAATTCATCTAGAAATTTGTGTTGCGTAGGGACAATCTTCTCCATAATTTTCTAACATTCAGTGTAACCAAAAGATATTTCTGAACAGTGAAATTACATATTTGAGTGTTCAGGAAAAGTAATTTTCAAAAGCAAAAGGGAAGTATGACCAAAACTAACTGGAAAGGGAAGTGTAAACAACAACAACAAAACCCAGGATGGACTTTTTGAGGAAGAAAGTAGTACAAGTATGTCCTGTGTCACTGTCAAGACAGAATCAAATAACTAGTTGCCATTCATTCTATATTATGAAGTGCAGGAAAATTAAAGAGAAACTAAAGGTTATGGGCAAATATTATGTCTGCTCAGCTGTAAGGCTTGTTGTTGTTAAGTAAAATGGGAGTTTTGATATGGTTTGTTATTATCTGAATGTTATTGGCTTATTCTTAGTTGGAGATGGGTGAACTTTTAATAATGATGTGGAAAAAGGAAAAGGTTTTGCAAAAAATGCTTTTCTAGGTGAAGCAGAGTGGAATAGTTGTTTCACTAAAGGGTAATAAAATAACTTTCAGTCTGTTAGTAGTTAGTATATGTTAAAAATAGCCTGCAAATACATTTTGAGTCATTGGAGTCCTGGAAAACTAGGCTGAGATCTCTAACTAGCTTTTTATTTTTGAGAAATGTTGGAGTGCAAGAGAAATTCCACGGCACTAGAAGAATGCTGCTATTTGCCAATACTAAAAAATAAACAAGCAAAATCTACGCAAGCATGATGACCAGTATAACTGCAGGCTGTTGGTCAGATTTTAGTCCAGAAAGGGTAATGGAGAAGCTGGTTCTGGATTCACACAGTGGATAACCAAAGAATGGTAATGAAATTAATTCCAGTCTCCCTGATTTTGTGGAAAAGGTTGAGTTTTGTAGATGCTGTTCTTACGAAGAAATTGGCATTATGCAGTGTCAAGAAAGTATTTGTTAAATGGATGGATAAGTTAACTAACTTAGAAAATGAATTATTACTGAAGGATTGTTGTTGAGTGTAGCATTTCTAATGAGTATATCTTTTATATTAAGCCCAGTACAGTAGTTATTTTCCCCAGCAGTTTTGAATATAACATAAATGCTAATACAAATTTGCTGTAAATACAAAGAGTGCTGTGTGCATGGGGGGAGGAGCAATGAAAACAAGGATGCTGTGTGCAATTTATTTCTCAGCAGAACTGAGATTTTGGGGAGGAGGGAAAGGGTTTGGGTTTTTTTGGCTTTTTTAAATCTAAGCAAACACAGAATTTTACCTCTAGAAATTTGGAACACAAGTCATACCCACAGGAGGAGGAGACTTTGTCCGAGGCACAGTGACTTGGAAATAGATTAAAGTGTTGTAATGGACAAGCAGCTCAAAAGGAGCTTTTGGTCGAGTGTTAGAGCGTTTAGACCTAATTTCATCTGGGTTGGGTAGAGTGGAAATAAATAGGAGGGTAGAAAGATTATTTTAATTTTGAAAACATCTCAGACTGATGGCAGAATGTTAGGTATGTTTTTGACATCCGAATTTAGAAAAGACATTGAAAAACTTGAAGATGCTGTTGAAAAAGCCACAAGTCATTTCAGCTGGAGAATTTATGCCCTCACATGACAGACTTAGTTCAATTTGTTCAGCTTATCAAAAAGAGGACTGGAAGATGGTTTTATAATGTACAGCTATTTCCACAGGAAAAAAACCCCAGGTATTAATGGCTCTTAAATCTAGCAGAAGAAGGTATAATGAAAACCAGAGACTACAGAGCAATTGAGATTTAAAAAAAAAAAAAAAAGCACCACCCCCATTCACACAGTTGGAACAGTGAAGGAAGTAGCAGAGCCTCCTTGTACTGTGTTCTGGGTCAAAACTGGGTGTCATTTTGGGAAGAGGTGTTTGTGTTTGAGCCAAGTACTAGTTCTTAGGCTTAGCTGTCTCTAAAATTCAGGAAATCGGAGGATCTCGTGATCTCTTCTGGTCTTAAATTGTCTGAAACTAGGGACCTGAGAAACTCAGGGTCCCCGCTGCCTGTTGGC